ATATTATTCTATTTTTTCCTATTTGGATAATATTTTATCTACTTGGGATAAGAATGTGTGTCCTCTTCTTTCTTTACCTAAAACCATTAGGCATGTTGGATGGTCTTTTTCGGATTCGGAATGAGTGAAATTAAATGTGGATGGAGCTTCTGAGGATAACCTGAGTAGAGGAGGTGGGGGTGGAGTTCTGCGTGATAATGTTGGCAGGTGGTTGAAAGGTTTTATTGTACGGATGGTTACCTGTAATTCTATGCTTGCAGAGATTACTACGTTGTTTTTTGGTCTTAGGATGGTGTAGGATGCTGGCCACAGGAAGGTTATTGTTAATATGGATTCAATGGCTGTTTTGCAAATGGTGTTGGCACACTCTGTGTTAAATGCTAGGTATTCCTCCTTGATTTTGCATATTAAAGACATGTTTCAAAGATCTTGGCATCTCCAGCTAAGCCACTACTTCTGAGAAGCGAACAAGGTAATGGATGTTCTAGCTAACATAGCAGTTTCTACTGCGGTGCATTTTCAGTATTTTGATGTCCCTCCTGCTGAGGTTGCTACTGTTTTGCGGAATGATATGCAGGGTATTACTCGGCCTAGACTGGTTGGTTCTAGTTAGTTTTGTTTCCGGATGTGAGCCCTCCTTTTTATCAAAAAAAAAAAAAAAAAAAAAAAATTTAAAAGATATAATTATAAACAATACTATAATTTTAAAACATATACCACAAACGATGAAACTCAGACATTCAATGATTTTCTTAGAAGTCAAGATTCCTATGTTCACCTAAGGCTTTTCTTTCTTACTCTTTTTTTTTTTTTTTTTTTTTTTTTTTTTTTTTTTTTTTTGCTAGATAATACACAATAATATAAGCCAAATGTATAAATTCACTTATGTATTTTACATTAAAAAAAACCATGTGGCATCCTAAAATTTACAGTAAATCTATTATGTCATTGAACTTGTAAATTCTAATAACATTTGCTCTTCTCTATTGCAGTAATAACCATTTTTTGGTGTTTTTAACTTTTATTTGCAAAATATGATTTTTTGGTGTTTTAACTTTTATTTGCAAAATATTAATTTGATATGTGGTTAATATAATTTTTGAAACAATAATTTTTATATTTTTGAATATCAAATAAGCGTTTAATAGATCTAATTTTATAAGTTAGGGTATTCAATGAAATAATTTTGCAAATTGAAGTATTCAATAGGTGAAATTTTATAAGTTAAAGTATTTAATTGATCAAAGAAAAAGTTGAGAGCATCACAAAATTTTTTTATATAAAATAAATGGTTGAATTCATGCATTTGGTGGCATAAGAATATAGGAACTTTCGTATTACAAATTAACTAAGATTTTAAATTCTATTTACTGTGAGTTAGAATTTGGTGATGTAATTTTAGTCTTATAAATTCATTTTGCAAAGATATAAACTAAGTTGTGTTTAAATATCATTGAAAAGTTATTATGTATATAATATATTCGTAGATTGATTTTTTTTTTTTTTTTCTTTTTGACTGAAAAGATGGATTAATTATTAATAGCATCATAAAACAGTATATCAAAAATAAAAGATGGAGGAGTAAAGCATCTATTCCATCGGGTCAGGCCTAAAACTAGCAACTCTAGCAATCTCATGAGCTATAATTTTGAAGCTATAATTTTGCAGTCTTGAATAATAGATCTAAAATGAGAAAAATCTAAAGTTTCTCGTGAAAGAACCTGAACCATTAATAAACTATCACTTTCCACGATCAACTGCTCTCCCCTAAAGTGTTGCTTTAACCAGTTCAGTGCTTCACGTACACTTAGTGCCTCAAGGAGAGTAGCATATGTAGTACATTCCAGCCTTAATGCTTTTCCTCCCATGCAGTAACCTGCAAAATCCCTTACCACCCAACCTGCTGCTGTTCTCCCTGTTTGAGTATCAAAACTTGCATCAACATTGCATTTATATTCCACACTGGGTGGTTGCCATTTTTGCTGGATCAAAAGACTGTTAGATGAAGGCTAAGTTTCCTCCATAGAATTCGCAAGACACCATGCATTAAGATAGGCTTGAGCGTGCCTTATCACTGAGAAAGGAGATCCCACCTGCTGTTGCCATATTAGCTTGTTTCTAGCATTCCAAAGGTCGAACCCACAACACAAGCTTCTCCCACCTGAGCTACGTCAACTCGTTGAGTCAGTAGCTCAAACCGTTGATCAAGACATGAAACATATCTCACCATTCGACATGAAAAGATATTCACGCATCTCTTGCAAAAGAACATCCTATAAGGCAATGAAAGATAGTTTCATTACCTTGAAGGCAGCGAGGACAAAGCATAGGCACTGATATGTGCATAATTTGTTACTTTTTCTCAATATTTTTGGTATTTCTAAATTATTTTTAAGTTTAACTTAGTTGGTTAGATAATTTTTATCAATTAGACATGATCTTAGTTACTTTTGGAATAATATCATTAAATTAAGAAATTTCCAGCATTTTTATTGTCTTAACATTTGTTCGGTTTTTCAGGAATATTTGAAGTTGTAGGCCTCCAAACTAGAGTCTGTTTGATTCATTGGAAAGATGAAACAAAACTCTACAAATGTCTAAAAAGGATCAAAATCCAGTTCAGCCTCAATGTTGATCAAAAGTAGCTCTGAATCCAAGAGAAATGTTTAAAATGAGCATGCACAACAGGTTTCAGTGTTTAGTGTTTATTTCATATCTGGAGTTTTAAATGTCACAAATAAACTCAGCCAAGGTCCATTTGAACCTTAAAAGCCAGCTCTACAATTGTTATGAAGACCACTAAATGAAATGACATTGTTTTGAGTGTTAAAAACGATAGACAAGTTGATCGTTCTGCTGTAACATATGTTGAATACCTATTTCAGTGTTTTTACCATATCTTGAGCTGTGAGTATCTGTTTTGGGCGAATGATAGCTCGTTGGAAAGTTAAGAAGGAGATCTTTAAGTTTTTTTGAAGAATTAGAGAGAGATTCAAAAAGGGAAAGGCTAAAAAAAAAGGGAGAGAAATTAGAACGAGAAGATTTTCAATTGATTGTTTTCAAAGTCCCTAATTAATTGGGGATTTTCTGTTGTCTTTTGAGTATCTTTCTTAATTCTTTTGTTTTAGTGATTGTAAGCCATGGGCATGAGTGGCTAATTTCTTAGTTCAATTCAAGGGATTCAACATCCATTTATATATTTGTGAGACATGTTCTTACTTTAAATTGATTCTCTTTGAATATCTGTTGTTTCTTGCATTTAAGGTGTTAGTTCTATTGAATGAATTGCTAAAAAGGCTTATTAGTCAATTATTTGGTATGATTAAATGCTATTTCATCTTCATAATCCGTAATTGTTGTGTAAGATTGAATGTTAGTATAGCAATTAGGTTTTAATGATTATGTTCCAAGTTTTCGGTAATAATCTAAAGAAACAATAGGGTTGAATTAAACAATTTATGCTTTTTAAATTGTTATGCGAGTTTTACTATTTCTTATTCTTAATGCTTTTATTAGATTAAAAAGGATTGCTTAATTTCGATTCATTTAATAATTAGAGTTAATGAGGGTGTTGGGCTCAAATTAATGATAATAGGAAAGTCATGGAATTTATCATGCGTGTAGGTAAGTTTCAGTTAAGTATTCAAAGAATAATTATTTCATAATTTGTCTGTGATCATTTATGCATTGGATTACAAATCATCTTGAATTGAATGTTTGTTAGATTAAATTCCAATTTGAGTTTATTAGTTACTTTTCTTTTGATTACCTTGAATGAATTTCCACAAACCAACCCCCTTTTTCTCTTACAAAATAACACAAAATTTAAAATTTCAGTCTCTAGGGTTCGACCTGAATTCATCACTTCTGCAGTTAAAATCAGTAATTAATTTTTGGTGGAATCGACAAACATCAGGCACCTCCACATGTCTTCTCAAAACTGAAAACTCAGGGAGAATATTAGTAAAGCTCCCACATAAAATTTTTGACCTTGGGTGGTATCTGTAATCGCCATAGTTGTCTCCATATACCCTCATGAAGCTTTGGAGGAAGGTTTAGTTTATGCTACAAGACTTCGCACCACATATATGCCCTTTAGATTTGTGCTGCCAACACCACCGATCTGGTACTTCAAATAAACTTAAAGGAACATGCAAAATCTGCTCCACCTCTTTAACACTAAAAATTTGATTAAGAGCGTCGGTATCCCAACTTCTAGTACCTTGGTTAATAGGATCAGCTACACGAAGGTCCTCCACACCAGTATTATTAGGAGATGTGATATAAGCATGCTAGAATCTAGTAGCCAAGGGGTACCAAAAATCAAGGTATCTTTTCTATTGCAAATTTTCCGCCTACATCCCTCCTTCAACACTGCTTGACCAGCCATCAACCTCCTCCAAATTTGACTCAGGTTCTTTCCCAACATAGCCCCAGGGAAATCTGCATCTGGATGATATCGAGCCCGATAGAATCGACTCACCAAAGAATTAGGCTTGCACAAAATAAAAATCACTAAAGAATTTATTTTAAAGTGAATATATTATTTTTTATTTTAATGTATTAAATAAATTAAAATATTAGTTAAATTTTTAAAATAATATTTAAGAAAAAATTTTTTATTTTAATGTATTAAATAAATTAAAATATTAGTTAAATTTTTAAAATAATATTTAAGAAAAATTATTAAATAATTATAAACAAAATTATCATAAAACATATTAATTGGAAAAAAAAAAAAATTTTATTAATAATTTTTTTATGAGCTTAACGAAATCCAAAATAATATAAATACGAATTAGTTACCGGTTGATAAGAAAAAGCTCCTGGATTAAGATGTAGTTTATAGAAAATACAGATGATTCAAACTTATTTGGACTAACAACTGCTAATTACAAAAATTTATCAAATACGTATTATTTAACTATTGGGTAAGAATATCAGCTTCATGAATCATCTAAACCAAACGCAACCTTAACCGTTGCAAGGTGAAAAAAACTATCCAATGGAACATCCTCCATCCAAATGAGCTCCTCATCTAACCAAGGGAGAGCATCTTTAGCAAGAAAATGGGCAACTCCATTACCAGTTCTCTTAACATGGCTAAATTGAAAATGCATATATAAAAGAGGAAGTTAAAGCATTCAACTTGAGCAGCCTTAGTACCATGACCATTGACAGAAATGAAAGAAGCTTTCAAACTGTTAATAAGAGTGAGGCAATCTGATTCAAGGTGCAGATTGCTAAAGCCAGTTGCATAGCAAGCTCCACTCTATAGATAGTTGCTTTGAGCTCTGCTTCTTGAGGAGGAAGATTTGATAGAACGTGTCTTACAGCTGCAGCCAGAACGAGCCCCTCTGAATTGCGAAAAGATAATACCCGTACCATAACCATTTGTCGAGTAAATTGCTGCGTCCAAATTCGCCTTCATTTTACAATTGCTTCTTGATTTGATGGAGGAGGAAGAGCATGAGAAACTCTAGGATTGAAAGACTGAAACTCATGGAGGAGGCCCAAAGCACAGTTTAAAGTAAGCAGGTCTGCTTGTTTTACCTGCTGGTTTAACCTAAGATTTCTGGATCTTTAAATCGCCCAGGCAATTGCATTTTCAAGTTTCAACTTGTCAAGATTTTTATATTAAAATTCATTTTTTATAGTTATTTTATTATAATTTTTCTCACTCACTGTACTTTATAATACTATTAATTTTCTTTCTCGTTTTTTCCACGCAAGAATCAGAATATTATGGCTGACTTTTACTTTATCGGTCGTCTATATCTTTCTGTTCTGCTGTCAGCTGTTTTCACTTAAAAATTCTGTCTTTCTCAAATAATTATTAATCATCACTGTACCATTCATATGTTCATTTCATACAACCTTGGTTCCTCTTCCCTATTCCATGGCATCTACTTCGTCCACTGCTGTTCGCAGAAAATGCGATGTGTTCCTTAATTTTAGAGGTGGAGACACTTGCGAGAACTTTGTCAGTGAACTCTGCAAAACTTTAAATCGAAATCTGATCGAGACTTTCATCATCGATGATAAATTTGGTGGCAGAGGAGGAGAAGAAGAGATTCTGCGAAAAATACAAGAAGCAGATATTTCTTCAGTCATTTTCTCGGAAGACTATGCTTCTTCTGCTTTGTGTATGGATGAGCTCCTAAAGATAGTTGAATGTAAAGAGACGAAAGGGCAAACTGTGATACCAGTTTTTTACCGAGTAGATCCAACGCATGTTCAACACCTGAAAGGAAATTTTGGGTTTGGATTTGACAAACTTACTCAAGAATTGAGGAACTCCTTGCCCAAAGTGGAGAGTTGGAGAAGTGCTTTGATTAAGACTGCATATCTCAAGGGATGGGATTCACACTTCACCAAGTAAGTTCTGGTTTTTTATTTCCTTGATTGCTTATTATTATTGTAAATTTTCACTTGCAAATTGAAACAGAGATTTAATTGCTTGGGTTGGGTTTGATTGATTTATGTATATTTACATTTCCTTAAGCCTGCTCATCTTGACCTAAATACCAAATAATTATATGAAAATTAGACCAAGATCTAGTCTTTGGAGGGTGAGTTTCATTTTGAATCACTCATTTGACATCATTATCTGTCAACTGTAAATTTTCCAAATTGTGTATTGATGGAGCTGGCAACAAAGGATGCAAGAAATGATCTCATCTTTGTTAATACTTTGGATATAGATTTACCAATTAATTAGGGGCATAGACTCAGAAAAAATTTATGGTTTGAGGAGAAATAATGATGGATGAAAAAAGCCAAAGAGACAGAACACAACAAAATCTTTTATTTCTATGAAAGATATTTATTTTATCTTTATGTGATATGTACTAAGATACTAATTAATTTTGTAATTCATTTCCTATGTTTCTAGTTGATTTCATGTCAAGTTCCTAAAATTTTGGTATCCGTGTTTTCTAGGCCTGAATCCAAGCTAATTCATGAAATTGTGAATGATATTTTGAAGAAGTTGAATCAAGTGTTCTTCAATGGTTCTGTCTTAGTTGGAATTAGTTCACACATCAGGGAAGTAGAATCATTATTGTCCATTGAATCACAAGGTGTGCGCTCAATAGGAATATGGGGAATGGGAGGCATAGGCAAAACAACTATTACTGAAGTTCTGTTTAGTCGAATTTCTGCTCAGTTTGAATGTCAATGCTATGTCCCAAATGTGAGGGAACAACTGGAAAAGCGTACGGTAGCTCATATAAGAGCTGAAATTCTTTCTAAATTACTGGGAATGGAAAATAGTATAGTCCGCATGCCCTATATATTTCCAAATTTCATTAGGAATAAGCTTAGGAAGAAAAAAGTTCTCATTGTTCTTGATGATGTGGATAATTCTGAGGTAGTAAGGGATTTAGTAGGAGACTGTCATTTGTATGGTTCGGGAAGTAGAATAATTGTAACGAGTAGAGACAAACAAGTACTTAAAAATGCTGATATCAAGGAGTATATTTATGAGGTTGAGAAATTGGTTGACTTTCAAGCTATTCTACTATTTAGCTTGCATGCTTTCAAACAAGATGCTCCACCAGAAGAATTTATGAAGCTATCAGAAAGGGCAATAACCTATGCTCAAGGGATTCCATTAGCTATTAAAATTTTAGGGTCCAGTCTATATTGCAAAAGTGTAAATGAATGGGAAAGTGAATTGGCAAAACTTGAAAATAGCCCAGACAGGACAATTGAGGAAGTTCTGAAAATAAGTTATGATGGATTAGAAAGCAGTGAACAAAGCATATTTCTTGATATTGCATGCTTCTTTAAGGGAGAAGATAGAACTCGCATTCAAAGTATATTGAATGGTTGCGGATTCTTTGCAGATATTGGAATAAGTCGTCTCTTAGATAAGTCTCTGATAACTATTTCATCTAACAATCAGTTGGAAATGCATGACCTACTACAACAAATGGGAAGGAATATTGTTTGCTTGGAATGCATTCATCAACCTGGAGAACGCAGTAGATTGTGGATTCCACAGGATGTCTATCTTGTATTGAAAAGAGAAAAGGCAAGAGTCAAAGGATTTCATCTTTTGTGCTTTTATGTTTGAATTTTATAAAAATAACTAAAACTGACCAGTTGTAAAATTCATTGTTCCCTTGGGTTTTGTTTCTAGGGGACTGGAAACATTGAAGGAATATCATTAGACAAGTCCAAAATCAGAGACATAGAACTAAGCCCAACAGTCTTTGAGAGAATGTATAATCTTAGGTTGCTTGAATTCCACAATCCATTCACAAGTGAATTGAAGATATATCTTCCTAAAGGACTCCAGTTTCTTCCAGACGAGCTAAGATTTCTTCGTTGGGACAAATACCCTTCAAAGTCTTTGCCAACAAGTTTTTGTGCTGAAAAGCTCATGGAACTTCACATGCGTGAAAGCCAACTTAGAGAGCTTTGGAATGGAGTTCAGGTATGTTTTAGCACACTACTTTTTAATATATGATGGGAAATTTAGGTATGTTCACTTATTTTAGCCTTTTTTTTCTTCCCTTTTATTACAGAATCTTGGAAATTTGGTATCTGTTGACCTTAGCAACTCTAAGCATCTAGTTAGGATTCCAGACTTATGTAGAGCCCAAAACCTTGAGGTTTTAAAGTTGACTGGCTGTACAAATTTAGTTGAGATTCCTTCGTCTATTCAAAATCTAAGCAAGCTAACGCGGCTTATTCTAGATGAATGCAAAAGTCTTGATAGTTTATTGAGCTACCTTCCTCAAAATATAAGAAATCTGAGTTTAGATGGAAGTACAATAAAGCAATTGCCCCCATCAATTGGTGAGTTGAAATGTCTTGAAACAATTGTTCTTCGAAGAAGCTCAGCACTGACAATTCTCCCAGACACTTTTTGCAATCTGAAATCTCTTATAGAACTTCATATATCAGATTGTCCAAGTCTCAATGAGCTGCCACTGAACTTGGGGAATTTGGAATCTTTGAAAGTACTGCATGCTAATAGAAGTGGTCTAAAAAACTTACCGTCCTCCGTGGATCAATTGAGGCAATTGGAATCATTGGATTGTTCAGGATGTAAAGATTTAATGTTGCCTCCTTTTATAGATATGCCCCATTTGGAGGTTCTTTATCTAAATGGCTGTGGTATGTCAGAATTTCCTCAAGGTATTTGCTCTCTGAAGTCATTGACCATCTTAGATGTGAGTGGAAATAATTTTGAGAGTATACCTGCAAGCATCAAACAACTTTCTAATTTGGAGAGGCTTCTTTTAAGAGATTGCAAGAGACTTCAATATTTACCGGATCTTCCATTGGCTCTACGATGTTTATATGCAAGAAACTGCACATCTTTGGAATCAGCGTCAACTTCATTTTTAATGGCACAAGAACCAAATTATCAAACCATTTTAGATTTCTATAAATGCATGAAACTAAATCAGGGCACATATAGTAGAATTATGGACGACATATTGGCAACACATTTGGTCAATGACAGACAGGTCCTTGTCTTTTCTCTGGCTTAATTTATTACAAAAATGATTGTGATCTTTTTCACGACAGTTAAATAACTGAATTTGATTTTGTTGGTACAGTCTCGCTACATAGGTGCCAAGATGTATATTGCTGGAAGTGAAATGGCAGAGAATATAAGGTATCACACTAACAATGGATCATCTCTGTCTTTCACAATCGACCAGCAGCAGCCTGACCTGATTGGTTTCTCTTTATGTGCTGTGGTTGCATCCAATGGTCATCCTCCTCCTCATGACGTCATAAATATTAGATGTAGAGCCCTTCTCACAGGCGAGTCTGGACATAGCCATATTGAAGATTTGTACTTTTTTAGTTATCCAGATGAACTAGACATCCAATCGGAGACTCTGTTTCTGTGGGCTAATTCAATCTCTTGGGACTCCGAAGACGGTTTGAGCAAGGCTTCATTTCATTTCTTCATGGATTATCATAATGAAGAAGACGAAGACTATTATGAGTGCAAGGAGGTGATAGTTAGGTGTGGAGTTCATCCAATTTTCAAAGATAAGAAGAGCAAAAATAAAGATGAAAATGAGGAATCTCAGCAACCTCCTCTGAAAAGATTGAAAGAGGAACATCTAAGCGCCGTCTCTTGGATGACTACAGATTAATTCTCCGTCATTCCCTTTAGGTAAAGCCTAAAGCTTATGAGTCTTCACAAAACTACTGCTTATCAAAATCAATAAATTTTAGGAATTAGTGTTTGTACTATAATTAACAGCAGTATGGATGCATGTTCGTTCAACTTTTCTGGTGTATATTGTTCTATACCTTGCGAAATTAATTTAACCTCGCATCATATAGGATTCAACTAGGTGAATTGCGCATTTGTAATATTATAATGTATGCATACCCATTATGCCTGAACACCAAGAAAATAAATAGTGAAAGACGAGATCGAAAGCTGAGAGGAGGACAGCTTGGATATGGGGAAACCATCTCCCAAACCTGAACCAGCTATTCAACATTTCAGCCATCCACACCCATTATAGCTCTCCAATCAGCAAACCCATCAGACATCATGTTCTGGTTGCAAGCTAAAAGCCACAGGATGGGTCTACGCTTGCCCCAATTGCAACTACTTCCTAGTTCCTCCATATCTCATGTTCCCATTTGCCTCATCAAATAACTCACCCATTTGACCAAAACCATATACTGTCTTTCCTCTGTACTCCCATATACCCAGAAGGCATATTCAGTAGTGATGCATGTGGCAAACAACGCAATGGCTTCTCTTACCACTGTGGGATTTATAATATTGATCTCCACACCCTATGTGCAACCATGCCATTGCTTCTAAACCATCAAACATACCACCATCATAACCTCAATCTCACCTTCTTCATTCCTTATCCTGACAAAAGCTTCATTTGTGATATATGCAATAATTTGGGCTCAAAGCAATGGTTCTATGTGTTATCGATGTGAATTTGATGCTCAATTGAGCTGCAGTACAGAAGAGCCAAAACCAGCTCCAATAATCGAACGAGGTCAGTTGCAATATTACCAAAGAGCACCAATACCAGCTATTACTCGGTATCAAATTGTTGGAAATGCACCTGGTAACAATTTGGCAAGGAATGCAGCCTCAAGTTTATTCGGGTATCGTCAGGAACATCCTTTGTTAAGCCAGCAGTTACTGCAGAATTTGGTAATCGGTTCTTCTCAGAGTTTAGGGCAACCTTTAGTGCAAGGACTACTAGTTGGTGTCGGCGGGCGTGGTGCAATTGATCTTGGAGGAGTAAGAGGTGGAAGAGTATTCTTAGGAGATTTTATTTTTAAACTAACCAATCCAAACCAAAATTATTTTGGTAACTGAATCTGACGGGACAGCAAATTGTGGTTCGGTTCGGTTATCTAGCTTTTTTTTTTTTTTGCAGCTCTGTCTTTTGCCCATGAAGTTAGACACGGGAATGTCTTACTTGCTGGAGCTCAAGTTTGTTCGCCGAGGAAGGAGATTTGGATTAGGTAGGAGTTTCCGCCGAATGGTTGGTTTAAATTAAATACCGACGGAATTGTTCGGGGTATGCTTAAAATTGAAACTGGCAGTGGAATTTTGAGAGATAGCACTGGACAATGGTTTTCTAGTCTTGCTACTTGTTGGAGTTCATGTTCTGTCATTCTAGCCGAATGATGGCTACTTGGGAAGGGCTTAAAATTGCCAAGATTATAAATATTGATAGACTCATTTTAGAGTGTGATAACAAACAAGTTGTTGATCGGTTGTTCTCTGAAATTGAGCCTTCTAATAGTTATAAATCTATTGTGAGAGCTACTAAAGCATTACTTCACGGAGTTTATGACTGTTAAGGTTTGTCATGTCTATAAAAGCTAATTCACTATGCTGATTGGTTAGCTTCTCATGCTTTCTCTCTTGGCCTTGGTGTTCATCTACTTGATTCTCTTGGTATTTCTTCTTTGATTTTTAGTGATTGCTGCTCTATTGCTTCTAGGCATTTTATCGCCTCTTGCAGTTCATGTTGAGCCTTAGAGCTCCTTTTAATTCACCAAAAAAAAAAAAAAGAAAAAAAGAAAAAAAATTGAGTTAGTAATTTCAGATTTGTTTTCAAAACTATAAAGTCTCGGGTTTAAATTTCGGTTGAAGATCAATTCTATTTTTGAATGCATTGAAATATCATAAAGGATCTCTTTCTCCTAAGTGTGGCCACGGTTCCGGAACCGAACCGAAAAGGTCCGGTTCCGGTTCTGGTTTGGAACCGTCCGGTTCCGGTTCCGGTTCCGGTCTGGTGACAAAACCGACGGTTCCGATCAGTTTTTCGGCGAATCGCATAATTTTAAATTTTGAAGACCGGTTTAAAAAAACGGTCTGAGTGACAAAACCACGGTTCCGATCAGTTTTTCGGCGAACGCATAATTATGTAATTTTGAAGGACCGGTTTAAAAAAAATATTTGAACATTAAAAAATTTAAAAAATACACCTAAAAAATTAAAATTACTTCAATTAAATTTATCTTTTTTAAGACTTGAACATAATTATTTTTTAAATAAAAATTTTTCACTGAATTTTTTGTTTAAAAAAGTTATTAAAAAAAAAAAAAAAAAAAAAAAACTGGTCTGTTGGAGCCATTTCATTTTGGTTATATTATATCAACAAAAATGTGTCAACGGCTAAATGCCAACTGTCATAACATTTCACCGGTTCGAACTGGTTCGAACCGGCGGTTTTAACTGGCCAGGGAACCGGCGATTTCAGTCCGGTTCTGGCCGGTTTCGGTTCTAGAAAATTTAGAACCGGAACCGAACCGGAATTCTCCGGTTTCGATTCTAGTTCTCACCGGTTCCGGTTACGGTTCCGAACCGGTTCGAACCGACGGTTCCGGTTTCCAGAACCGTAATATGGCCATGTCTACTTTCTCCCCATACAAGATAATCCATCATTAACGTATGTTTGCTCTCTAATGATTATAAAGATGTGAGAATTCTGTTTATTCAGTTCTAATGATGAATGAATTGAAAGGAATTATGGAAAAGGACAAAGATACCCTTTGTCGTACAACTTATTTAAAGTTCTGAGATAAAAAAAAAAAAAAAAAAAAAAAAAAAAAAAAAAAAACTTATTTTGGCGAATATAATATAGAATGAAAAGCTACTTCATACTGGTGATTTCATAATATTTATTAAGTCTCCTATATTTTAATCTTGATAATATTATTATTAATTAATCATTGTAAGGTTACAATATTACTTATTATTTTTTTTGGTAACAAAAAGGAGTAAAGCTCATAAAACTACAAGTTGTCTGATGAGACACCACATTAAATTATACAAATAACCACTTCAAAATCTCAGCAGGAAGATGATCAAAAAACTTAAGTGGAGTGACTAATGGAGTTAGAAATAGCAAAGTTGGCTAAATTATTTGCATGCAAATTTATGAGCTGAACCATATGTTTCAACCTTGATCTTTTTAAGTTGTTTTTCAATTTCGCCTGGAACGATCTTTATACTCTAAGCGTAACTATATTTATATTTACAGGCTTTAATATACTCTAAGCTTTTTTAAGGATAAGGACTTGCCCTACACTTGATGTTATGAGATCGGCCTATACATCAATCCAATTAAAAAATGATTTTTTTTTTTTTTTTTTTTAATTGTTAATGTTTATTAAAGATATTCTCCCAACTTCTGTATTAACAAGAGCTTGTATCTTGTAACAATTAGATTTTGGTAGACTTCAGCTTCAACAATGATAATATAAAATACAAGATTCTCTAACGTAATATCAGAGCACAACGCCTTCAACTGAATCTCTCAAGTCTCCCTTTGCTTCTCGTCTCTAACTTCTGCAACCCAAATGTTGCTCAATTATCATTGTTTGTTAAAACTCAATTCAACTAAGTACTCCTTTGGAAAGATCGGATACTTCCCTTGTTAATGGGATATTAATTATGGCTTTGCCTCATTTTGTTCTTCTTCTGGCTATTAGTCTACCAACACAACACCTCGGTTTGGATGGGCAATTTAACCCTGACTGTTCAACATTAGTATTGTCAAGACCAACTATTCCTAACTCAGTTGTTTGCCTAAACTAATTTTAATATTTTGTGAGACTTTTGGATCCTGTTCTTAATTCTTTTTGTAACAATATCAAAAGGCAAATCTATTAAAACCTAAAACTCAAAATCAATATTGGGATAATTGCTGCGATCATAAAATAGAGGAGCTTTTCTAGATAGTAGTCAAGCATTTGGGCGCTAAATTAGGCATGCAGCTTCTCATATAACATATCAAAGTTTATTTGTCCGTTGTTCACGACTCAGGGTACTCCTTCTATTCTTAAACACTATTTCTTGATTGAGCCACTAACAAAGAAGATCCAAAGAGGGGTGTGTATGAAATAAAACAACAAGGGGGAAAAGGAGCCTAAGTGAAATAAGATGTAGAAATTTTTTTTTTTTTTAAAATAAAAAAACCTTACCTTCAGTATCAATAAAAGCAACTTTTTAAAAATATCATTATGCTTTGTATTATGTTGTGCTGAGATGTTTTTTCAATCATTTTCAATCTTTTCCTTATCATAATTATTTTGATTTTATTTTTTGTGACAACGATTAATTAAGAGAGACAATAGTGGGAGAAAAGAAGAAAGAAACATGAGCTTCAAGTGTTACAAGTGCTGGAGTTCCAGTCTCAGGATTGATGAAAGCCATGAAACCTGAACACCTCCAAAGCGAGTTAATGAGCCTTCTTACATCGACAAGAATGATGATTAATAAAGTTTTCAAAAATATATTCTATTAAAGATATAAAACAAAAGAGAAAAAGGTTATTACTTCCCATAGATATATGTGGCCTACGCTAATGTTTGCCTCACTTAGGGCATGATGTGATGAATCCAAAGTACTTTGCAATTGACATTTGAATGGATGCTCCTATACCAGTTGCTAATGGGGTTTTCTTTCTTTCTTTTTTTTTTTTTTTTTTTTATTTTTTTTTTGAAAATTAAGAAGAAAAGAAAACAACACAACTAGATCAAGATTTCTGGGGTTAGGCTACCCACTAGCTATCATGGCAGAAGAAACCCAGCCAACCCTATGAGGAGGAGCTTTGAACTGTGATTTCCCTATAAGGTAGAGACAATGTTGAAAGGCAAAATTTACAGCAATGAAGATCAAAGATAACAGAGAGAAAAAAGGGGAAGTTGCATTGAAAGCAATCTCTTCATTTCTTCATTTTTCTTAGTTACAAATAAAGCTTTTATTATCAAAAGCTTTTCAAAGAGTCAATACCTAACTTTTACTAACTCTAGGCTTTACAAAGATAATTCCCTAAAATCTAGGAATACAACAAATGGATATTTAAATTAGCTAATTTAGGTTAGGAATTAATACAAAATATTTTTTTGACTAGTTTTTCAATGGACAATCTTCAATCATCTCATTCTCCTCCTTGAGATGTTCTTGGAAACACCAAGTAATATCTCATAACTTCAAATTTAGGCAAAGCTTTGTGAGAATATCAGCTGCTTGTTTCTTCAGAAGCACAAATGAACAAGTTTAACTTCAATTTTCTCAGCATCTCTCAAGGCATAGAAGCTTCACATGATGTGCTTTTATCTTGCCATGCTTGAAAGGATTTTCTTAGCCATTGGATATGGGCTGATTTGTTATCAACATACACCACGTAAGGCTTGGATCATATTGTTGCTTAAATCACAAAGGAATTGTTCTTACAACAAATGCTTGATTTGCTGTTGAAGCTTGCTGCTACATATTCAGCCTCTGCAGTAGATTGAGCAACAATGTCCTGCTTCCTTGAATTCCACGAGAAGGGACTCCCGAACCAAAGGAAAAAGTATAGCCTGAGGTGCTTTTTGTAATTATCCAACCACCCAGCCCAATCACTATGTCTGAATTAGCCAACAAGAATAGCATTCTCCACATAGGATAAATAATACCATGATCAGTTGTACCTTTTATGTACTTGATAACCCTTCTTTGCTGCACCAAAGTGCTTTTGGCTTGGTGACTGCAATAAATCTTGATAAAGACTTGCCCGCAAACATCAAATCAGGTCTTGTAGCAGTCAAATACAATAGACTACCAAACCCAAACTTCTATATACAAGTAGCATCCCACCTTGGCTTCACCAATCTTCTTTCTCTTAATTTTTCATTAATTACCAATGGAGTTGCAACAGATTTTGCAGCTTTCCATAAATAAATTTTTTCAGTATATCAAGAGCATACTTGTGATATGAAATGAAAACTCCATTCTCAAACTGATAAACTTCAAGACCGAGAAAATATTTCATCAAGCCCAAGATCAATCATATCAACACTTGCATGACTTGCTCATTTGAAACTTCTTTATTAAATCCAAATTATTTATCGGTCACCAGCAAATTAATCAACATACAAGGAGACAATGAGCAATTTTAAATCCTCACTATGCTTCACATTACAAGGTGGCCTCATTTTAGGACTTCTATGAAATCCTTGATCGAGTAAATGGCATCCATTCTATGTACCATGCCCTTTGGGCTTGCTTTAAGGCCATACAAGGCTTTATTGAGCTTCATAACTTTATCTTCACTTTTCCAACAATAAGAAAATCCTTCAGGTGTTCAATAAAGATTTTCCTCTAAGAAACCATTAAGAAAGGCTTGATTTGAATTCCACAGTGATAGATCTTCCATTCATTGAGTAGTAAAAGCAATTAATATTCTCACAGTGTTCATGTCGCAAGCAACCGAAGCCAAATGTACTCCGTAGTCAAGACCAGGAAGTTGTGCATACCAAACTTCAATCTTACCTTTATGTTTAAATAATGATCCATCAGGATCCCAACCCTATAAACCCACTAAACTCCGAATAACCT